CTGGATCAGCCTAAAACCACGACAAGGGGAACTCCAGCAATCGGTGAAATGAGAATACAGATCACGAGTTGGCCAGCACGTACATGGAGAACAAGGTTTACTTTTTTAAGATTATAGTTTGTTGCTGTATTTTGTACCACAAAAATAAACCCCATGGTTGGCTACCAGAGGAAAAAAGGGAACTTCCAGCTCCTTGGGACAAGAAATTGCACACTTCCAGTCTGCTGCTTACTGGGAAGAAGAAATGACTCCTCTCCAGGTGCATTATCTCCTTGTGAGATGGTTTGGTGCAGGCCATGTTCTTGTCCCTGCCCCAAGCAGCAGAAATCACTACAGAGGTGTGAAAACAGCAGCTATGCACACACACACACTTCTATCACCAGTGCTGGAAAGGTACCTGCTGCTTCTGATGAAGTTTTAGTGATCACAGGTGATTTGAGGGAAATGAGAGCCGAGGGAGGAGGACACAACCACCTTATTGTATATATGCTACTCCTGTCCATAATGAGCCCTCTACACTACAAATCTGACCTGGGAAGGAGGAGCATCTACAGCTTTAGCAGTTCTGGTGGTGGAGCTTTAACAAGATCTTTTCTACTAAGTTGATGAGGCTTAAGCAGGTAACCCACACCAATAACAGACTCCATTGATTTGCTCCATCTCCAGTGTTTTCTGATATAGCAGAACATCATCACCTGTCCAGCCAACCCAAAGCAGTGGGCAAGACCTGACTACCTAGTGTTTAAAAAAGTGAAACTCTGGAGATTTCTTTCATATAAATACTTCTCTCTTTATTGCTTAAACGTGTCCTTAAGCTTTCTTCCTGCCCCTGCTTGTATTGCTGCTCATGAGATACCTGCCTGCTGCCCCAGCAGCTGGCCGAGGGTAGGATAAGACTGATGAGCAGCTCCTTTTCCTCCAAAGGACCAAAGCACCTCTTGGGTGCTCAGGCACACTGCTGGGACAGGCGAGCATCAGCTGCCTGGGGAATATCTCCTCCCAGCACTGAAAGAATTACTGAAGGCTCTCCATGACGCAAGCCCCCGAGCAACACAGGCAGCCTCACGCACGGCAGAAAAAGAGAAGGAATGACGGCCTTTTGCAAGAAATTCGTCTTTATTGAAGCAACCATGAGTCATATGAGCTGCCAGCTGGCCTGAGGAATAACAATAGCAGCAGCCTGGACAATAGCAGCTGGAGCTCACAAGGGAGATTGTCTCTGTCCAGAGAGTGATATACTTAAGAACATCCATACACATATAAGTGAATCTTTCCCCACTGCTGGAAAGCGGGTATGTTGGCAAGTGCCTGTCACCGCTAAACCCCTGCTAGACTGAGGCATGCTGGTGACTGCCAGGAGGTAGCTTGAATATTAACTCTGGAGCAGTTTGAATTTGACTCCCCTTCCAGCGAAGGCAGTGGTGAAGCTCCACTGGTTCCAAGGGAGCGGGATGAGGAGCGATAGCCCTTTCCTGCACCCTCAATGCAGTTCTTTCCAATGCAAAACATATGCAGCCATGTCCCAATGTTAAACAGGTGCTGAAGGCTGTACCACTGTTCTTGTACTTGTAGCAGCCCCTGCCTGAGGGCCAGGACCTGTCCTCAACATCAGCATGGGGGTTTCTATGTTTATCTCAATAAACGATTGCTACTTACTGTTTTTCATGGCTAAAAGCCACACAAAGGAGAGGGGTGAAAGCTGTTGTTGGTTCAACAGGCATTTCACATCGCCATATAGCTTACAGCAGGAGCTAAATCTATTGCAATGATGGGTTTCGGCTCAGAAGTGGCTCTGCCTGCTCACAACAAGGGTAAAGCACGCCAGGGAGCTGTCGCTTGAGCGAGACTGAGCACCGAGTTCTTCAGTTGACGGAGGCTTTTTAAATTTCTGTTTATTATTGATAAGGTGATGTACAGAGGATGTGGAGTTGGACATCGTATTGGTTGATTTGGCTGGAGATCAGTCCTGTTCACTTCTGGATTTAAACTTCAGTCCTGCATGTATGTGTAATATCAAAGTCCTTTTGTATTGCACAACAGCACAGTGGGTTATCGAAGTCAGATAAACACAGTGCTGAAGCTGGATGTTGAACAAGCCCCTGTGAAATCAGTGTGGCATCAGGCTGTAGGAAGTTGACTAAATTTTAGGAATTAAAAAATAATAGTGTATTGCATTAGCAGAGAGGAATAACAGAGGGATGTGTGCTTACGTTGGTCATTTGTTTTGAAGTTCACATGCTGCTTTCTGATTTTTTTTCCTGATCTCCGCCAAAAGCTCCGTAAATCTGGCAATATTTGAAAATGGGTAAAGCAGTCGACAGTCATTGGATGCCTACATACTCGAGCATGATCAGAAACGCGCCCAAAGTCAATTACCACGAGTGTCCAGGCCAGGGGAGCACATCTCCCATCAGCAATGACATACTTTGTGTCCATACATTTGCCAATAGCACAAGATGGGTCCTGGGCTGTGATCCAAAGCCATCATCCTAGAAACATTGTGCCTTTGGGGGTCACAGGGAACTGCTCAGGTGCCAGTGCACAAGAAGTTTGGTTTAATGCTGCGATTTTTGCTGGGCTTTTCTCTTCATTTGTGTCCTAAGGGGCTCTTTGTGTCCTGCTCATGGAGCTACAGCCCATACGTCCCCCGATGAGGCGATCTGCAGCTCCAAGCCCAGGTGCATGTCTCAGCCCTTGCCTGTTTTTGGCAAAGGTGTGGGACTGCTCCTCCGCAGAGCATCGTCCGCTCTGACCAGCTCGGAAATGCACGACAGCTTGTAGTGCAGGAAGCGGGAACGCGGGACACACATCCCACAGCCTGCCCCACACAATGCCTTCCTGGGGGATTTTATGGGCGACTTCAGACATCTTCCTGTGCCAAGAGATGGCTCTAACTGGTAGGGATGCCCAAGCAGTGGGTTTCTACCTGTCTCGCAGGATGTATTTGCCTTTCCGGTCCAGGTTGCTGCTGAAGTGGATGGAGAACCAGAGGAATGAAGACAGGATCATCCCGTAAATCTAAAAGGAAATAAATGAGACAATTAAATGCTGAACTGATTATGATGCTCCATTTGTGCAAATAAGCAATCATAGATGTTGCCTGTTAGTCCACTTGGCACTTCTGAATTTATGTATCAGGATGTCACATTTTTCTTGAGAGTGCCGTTTTTCAGTAAAGTGGTGAACATCAATTACAGCACAGGAGAAAAAAAAAACAACATGTGGTTAGAACATCTGATTGGAATTAGCATAGTACAGCTCAAACCCAGTCCTAAAAATACCAAAAAATGAGATGAAACCATGAAATTCAGGTTTCAAATTCCTGCCACAAAACATTCCTCTATGCAAACAAACATCTTTCTCTCATAATAGCCTTTTGTAAAAATAACATAGGGAGAAAAAAAAAAACAAAACCCAAAAACAATAACAAACCTCATGTACTGTTTGGCTAAAAAAAAAAAAATTAGAAAAAAGCAAAAAAACTCTAACAAAACCCAAACCCCACCCCATGCATGTGCACAGTGTGAACACAGAGGACAGCGTCCTTCCTCTGTATCGTGATATTCTGCCCGGTGTACCAGCCCTCAGGATTTACACAGGCAGCGTACCAAAGGTACGGCTGCTGTGGGAAAGAGAGCAAGAGCTGCAACGACGTGCCCTTTCCTAAAAGCCTGCCTTAACGTGCAGGCACCTTTGCTTGCAGCTTGATGTGGGGACGTGTGTGCATTGTTGGCTGGGGGACAGTGAGATCAGCGCAGCTATAGCCCTCGTCGCACGCTTCCTTCGCATCCTGCCATCACAATAGTGAGCTGTGCAGCGAGATTTCCTCTCGCCCGCGCTTCAAAGGTGGCCGCCTTATCTGGCTATAGCATCAAGCTGTGAAAAAAGATGTATATCATAAAAGTGCTCCCGCTTTTGTCTGAATAGAGCTGCAGTGAAATTCCTCCTATACCTGAGAAACGTTAGAAAGCGACACCAAATATTCACGCGTGACGTTACATTTATAGCCCCATAGCAATGCCTAATGGTTTTCCTAATTTACTACTAGCAGTAGAAAATACAAAAGCGTTTGTTCCTCTGGGTTTTGTTGAGATGGAGAGGAGTCTTCTAACCTACCGTCATGCCAAGGCAGACACAAGTAGTGAAACAATCTCCGAACACACATTTAGTCAGGAAAGGTCGCCCCAGCTGGGGAGCAGTGTGGAGATATCACAGCAGACCAAACCTCCCTTCATGGTGAAGAAACATGTCTTCTGCTGTGTATTCTTCTCCAGCGTGCTTCAACACACACACACGGGGCCCTTGTGTAGAGGTAATGACAGTGATACACCTCTGCCAAGCAGTGGGTGGGCACATGAGCAGGCTTGTTTTAATTAGTAGTGCTGTCCAGCTCTGAAGGGACCGTCCCCATGCAGTCACCGAGCCCCCTCACTGCTGAAGGACACACTCCTCTTGCAGCATTTCATTTGTTGTTTTGTCCTCCCCTGAATAAGACTCACAGATTCGGTACAGACCCTTTTGACCCAAGCCATCCTCCAAAGATGATCCTCCTCCTCCCACCGCAAGATCCTCCTTCAAAGACGTCGCCTGGGAGCCCAGGCAGCATGCTCTGGCTCCTCTCCTTTGCAGCCCTCTCCTTACAAGAGAGGAAAGATACGCTGCCTGAGATGCACCTTACTGTATTCATCAGTGGTCATTAATAGGATGAGATCTTCCCTTTCTGCACAGCTCTCCAGCTCCACTGCTGGGACTCAGTAGCTTTCAAGACCTTCCAGCTCTGGCTGCACAAAGCAACTTCCCAGACGGAGCTGGGAGGCAGCCAGTGAGCCGAGCGCTGGGCAAGGAGAGGCAGCAAGATGCCTGAAATACGGAGCTTTTACTGCACCTCCTCTTCCACAATTGCTGCTGACTGCCCACCTGATTTGCAAGCCCTGCCCCAGGTGACATGGCCTCTTGCTTGCAGGAGAAGACACACAGGCAAGCCTGGGTGAATGAAATGCTGCAGTCCCCCAATCCCAGATGCTGTGCCTAGTTTGAGCACAAAAATCATGCAGCTAGCTTATTCCTGCAGGAAAAACCCCTCCAGACATCAGCTTGGTCAACACAGGTCCCGGCCTTTTCTTAATTTCCATGGTGGAATCCACCATCACTTGTTTCTCTGCTACCGGTCTCCAAAAATCATATGAAATCCTGGCTTCTGGGGGGCTAATTTAGGACACTCCTCCCCCACTGGAGCCTGCCTCTCGGGGCCACAATGCAAAGGAACAGACATAGCTACCGTGAAGCCGATGGTGACACCCAGGAGTGTGGAGACGAAGTCCATGTGCTTCTTCAGGAAGTCCTGGATCTCCTGCAGGCAGTCCTGGAAGGAGAAAGACAGCCCTTGCAGCACAGCAGCAGCTCGGTGGGGGGCTTTGTCCCCCCAACAGCACTTGCCATGACCCCAGATAGAAATGGGGCAAGAGTGGGACGCAGCATTGCACAGCTGGGCTGCTCCATGGTCAGCTCTCCTTTATCCTGCTGTTTCCTGCAGCTTGGGAAGGCAGGAAGGCGAACACCTCCGTATATTTTCTTTTACTACAATACAGCTATGATTTTCTTGGTCTGATAAGTTTTGGACTGTGGGTGATGCATGCATGCGCAGGTGAGCATGGTCACACACAACCTTTTTTCTTTCCACCCACTGGAAAATGGAAAGAGGGAAATGAGAAGACAGAAAAGCAGAGCACACCATAACGCTAAATGCGTTCCCCAAAGATGCTAACAAACAGCTCAATTTTGCAAGGCGTCACAAGCATTAATATACATTAGCCTTAAGCGTGCCAGTGGCCCCACGGAAATCCAGGAGGTGTGAGCCAAGAGAGCCATTTCAAAAATGCAAGAGCATGCCCTCGATGAAGTGATTTGCAGAGCGAGGTAAGAGCATTCAAAGCCAGAGAGTGAATGATGTACCGCAGCTATCAAACTGTGGTTCCCTGGGTTGCAAAATGCATCCTCCCTCCCTCCCTCCCACCTCTCCCAGCTGGCAATTGTTAGGGGGAGGGGGCAACAGAGTCACCCACCCATACGGTGCCTGGTTTTGCTCTCTGAGTTGAGTTCAACCCTGCTTTGAGATGCACTGTTCCTGGAGGCAGCGCTTTGAAACGCTGCTCCGCGGGCTGACGCATGCCTGTGCATCGCGGCGTCCTGTTAGTGCTTGACATCTCTGCCTAACAACAATGTTTTCGTATAGCTGTAGCAACAGGGTTTTGTTTTTCCTAGGGAAAACGTAAGTATTGATGCTGGCGGCTTTGGCGACTTCAGCTGATTTGGCTACTCCAGTGGAAAAAAAAAATCATACAATAGATTTGCTTAGAGAGCGTGAACTCTATGTTGCAGCTTCAGTGCAGAGGCAGTCTAATACTGGTGGCTTCTCCATCCACCTCACTGGGATACTGCAAAGAGGAGGAGTGAAGTGTACCTGATGAAGCTACTGCTCGGCATCATAATCTTGCTTCATGGGTTTCTCATTTTAATACCTATTTAATGCCCTGGGAAAAAGGATTTACAGCAAATTCCACATTTCCTGTTAGTGGGACAGCTTCTAAGCCTCAGAAATTAGTGTCACATGGAAGAGTCCAACAGTTTTTTGAGCTCAGACACACGCTCGTGGTATCTCACACCCCCTCAAGGCTGCAAACACAAGCATTTCAAAGGCTTTCTAGAGCTGCAAAGGAAACCACATCTGCAGGGCTGAGACCTGCTGATCCACCCGGGCTCCTCCAGTGGGTGAGACGCCTCCTTATTGAAACAACAAAACAAACCCAACCCATAGCAAGCCCGAACCATGAAAGCACCACATCTAACACTTAAACATCCATAAGGTTTTAGCAGTTAGCAGGTAGCAGCACAACCCCGCTGTGGGGTGGATGAAACTTCTCTCTTACCTGTCCCTCATCATGCACCTGGCCAGGCGGACATGTCTCACGCTCAACGTTGGTCATGTCCCCAAATGGAGAGATCTTCCCACAGCACAGGAACTGGAAGAGAGAGAGGTTTGTCATTTGCCAGCCACCCGCTGGGGCTCTCCCCTTGCTGCCAGCTGCTGCGGTGGGAGGCACCAGTGATGGGCCACCCTACCTCCCTGCTGCCCCAAGGCAGGGCTGTACAACCAGGGCTGCAAGGAGCAAAACGCATAGAGATGCAATTCACAGCTGCAGCAATCAAAGTTAAATTCAGAGGAGGTGGATGGATCTGGCCCCAAATTCGCCAGCGTTCCCCCAGGACTGCTGCCTGGGGCTGGAGCCAAGTCCTCCCTCCATGGTGACATCTGCTCTCATGGTAGCTTCTCTGGAAAACCCAGGGATGCACAGACTCATGTTTCCAGCACTTTGTGTGGGCTGGGGGTGGTCCCCAACAACACCCACTGTGGAGCTGGTTTCTTATAGTCAAGGTGAACTGGCCAGCTTGGAGCTCTAACAGAAGGAAAAATAAAAAACTAGGAGTAGGACTGTTTCTCCATCAATTAAAGTGGCTAAAATAAGCCACTGATGAAGCTGGGTGTTATGCCTGGTTCTCCTCACCAAGGGGGACTCTGGGTGCACTGCTCCACCACCTGTAGAGGAAGCACCACTGCGCCTGGTCATCACTCTGAGGGCCACCACCATCGTTGCAATGAGAAACGTTTGCCCTTTTCTGCATTTTGAGAAGCATGGATGAAAACAGCTGTGGAAAGTACTTGTTATGATAATTTGAGGAAACACAGAAGGATAAAGAGAGTTGTATGGGAGGCGTCTGGAAACAGGCAAGTGGAGCTGACCTTCCCATCCAGCCCTGCTGCGTGCCATGAACTCACTACCCAAAGAGATCCTGCTGTGCAAGGAGACGACATCTCCATTACTCAGTGAGGGCTCAGGGGTTTCTAACCATCAAGGACATCCTCACCCATCTCCTGTGGCTTTGAGGGCAACCATCCTCCCTGTCTTTAGGGAAGCCACCCTTGCTCACCTACTGTGCTATGAAGTCCCCTGTGCCAGCAGCATTCTAGGTGGCGGATTTTGGGAGCTTACTAGCAGCCTCCAGCTTTGGGAGAGGCTGCATAGCCCCCAGTATTCATCAGCCATCAAGGGTAGACAGAAATAACCAAGTCCAAATACTTCTGCTGGATGATGTGGAATTTCCCCCCTCTTTCTACCTGACCGGGGACACGAGAGGCTTGTATATCCACTTTCTTGTACTATGGATAGGAAGCATGGCCAAGAGTCTGCCAAGACAAAACACGTACTAACTATGGTGCTGATGCTTTGAAGAACTTGCACCAGATCAATGCTGAGGTAGGTGGCCCTTTCCTCCTGTTGATAATCTGGTTGGTCAGACCTAGGAAGGGAAGGGTAGGAAGGGAGGAGCAGACTTTGCAGCAGGCTGGACGACCCAGTTCCCGAGGGAAAATGCCAAAACCAATGGGAAGATATACCAGAGAGAGGTTTTCTGCTAAGGCTGAAAGACAACTTACTGCTTCGTGGATGGCGGTCAGCTCCTGCCTCCTGAAGCTGGAGGCGTTCCTCCTTACCTCCTCGTACACAAGATCATACACGTCCATCATGCTGTCTTCCACCTGCAATGAAAGCAGAGATCTGTACATGCAAAACACTTACCGTGGTCATCTCTGGAGGGAAATACACTCCTCTCACATCCCCCAGAAGCTCTCCCAAGTATAACAAGACAAACAGTGCAGCTGTTAAAAGGACCACCATGCAGCAGCAGGAGCTGGTGTACAACCCACCACACACCAAAGGACACCTACAACACAGCAAGTCCCATGAGAGAAGCTGCAATGCTGCATGTGTATCACCTTCTGCTATGTGTAGATCCTTCAGCATCACAATGGGGTCTCACCAGCTGGTGGCTGGAGATTTCAGCCAGTTTGGGATTTAGGGTCAAAGAAGAGCTCTGGTGCCTGTTGGTGCTCTGAGTCCCTCTGCCAGGCAGGGATGACACCATCTCCCTGTGAGGGGCCTGTGAGGACAGGCACACATGGCCGTGAGATGTCAAAATACAATGGTGAGAAGACCTCAGATGGCTGGTGTTATCCTAGTGATGGAGCAGTTCCTTCCAATAGAGCCAAAAACATAACAGAGTGATTCAGTGATGAATCAGACCCTAAATATTTACCAAATGTGTGAGAACTCGCAGCTTGACAGATCCCAGCCAACTCCCGCCTGGGTTTCAAAGGAAAAAGATATGACAATTGCCTTCAGGGCCTGGAGTCAAAACTTTATTTCTTCTTTTTGTCTTCCCTCGCTTCCTCACCAGCATCAACTGGAGAGGGTCTGCAGGCAGCACTCGGCTTTCAGAAGGGAAAATTGCTTGGCAAGGCAGACGGGGCAGGTGGCCAGGCGGGGAGGGATGGGGGCTCCTGGAGGAGAGTAGTCTCTCAGTGAGGCTTCTCAGCTCAGCCTTAAGGGGCTGCACTTGGAAATTAGGAGAAAAGAACCCCAATGGCTTGTGCTCAGAGGTGAAACCAGGGTCATTCAAGGCGATTACAGCCATGACTGCAATATTGCTCTACCCTGCCTGGCTGCCCAAAACACAAGCAACTAGCAGAGGTTGATAACCAGGAAGGGAGAGAGGGAGGTTGAGAACATTGCTTGTATCTGACTCAGCTCCGTGTCACCAGGAACAACATTTAAATGCTCACATCAGAAGATTTTCCATAACTGTCAACATGGCATAGAAGTGGAGGGGCTTGGGGTCTTCTCTGTGTTTATCTGCAGCAAAGCTGCTGTGCTCCCAGGATGCTCCATCACCCATCACGGAGCAACCAGTAGGTGAGGCAGGAGCAACCCAGATTCAACGAGTTCACTGTGCAGGAAAGTCAATGCTCATTAGTGTTTTGTCTTGATAATAAACCTCAGGGCTCAAAGGAGGCTGATATCCTCCTCAGCAGCTTCTCAGGTGGTCGTTCTGCACTAAGCTTCCTAGCAGGAGGGCAGGTGATGTCCAGATGTTGAGAGCTGCTGCCCATAGCCTGAGGCAGCTGCCAGACTGGCAAGCTCCTGCTGGCTGCACGGACCAGGAGAGGATCGATTTGATCAGGAGAGGTCCTGCTTGATGCAGTGGTGCAGGTTTGCACCTTCCTCATTATTTTAGGTACCACACAATGACGTTACACCTTGAGACTAAGGCTGTTTGAAGGAAAAGAGTGGCTGGGAAAGAACTGAAGGAACACGATGCCCATAACAAAGCTGTGGCAGAAAATTATTCCAACTGTTGGAAACAATAAGGAAAGAAACCACCAGCAGTCACCGTTTCACAGCCAGCTTGACTACAGTGATGGTGATGATGAGGAGGAGGGTAATCTCCAAGTACATAATGACTACTAAAGACTTCAATTGCATGCGGTTTCTGATCTTGCTCATGAGCTAGCTTCTTAGTTATTTACTGATTTTTTCATTTTGTCAAGCAGCCTCCAAGAACTGAAAGTGCAAGTGATTAAATGGAAAATGTTTTATAGCAATAATTTCTTCTTAGGATGTGTGTCTGGGCAAGCCTAAGAGTACAATTTGCTGATTAGTCGTTCTCAGCATTTCTATCTAGCAATTATATCTAGCATTTATATCCAGCTAATATCTGAATATGCTATTCAGATCCTAATAAGGGAATATCAAACTACAAAACCATTTTTTAAAGAGTGAATTGACTGCAGTTCCTCCACATCATCTTTCTGATTTTTGCTGGGACCATTTGAGTTTGTAGGGGAAAATTACTGTCTTTATACAGTGTGACAGCTTGTTTTCAAAGATTACTGCAGAGATCTTTCTCATTTAAATATTTCAGAGGTAGGCATAAAGTAGTAAATCTCAGTTTTTATCACTGGCTTTCCTTCTATGCAGGAGACTCTACCACAGAGCATATGAGAGGTCTGGTTTAATAAGAGGAGACATACAAGAGCAAGAGATTGCACTAATGAACCATCGTCTTAGCAACTTTTCTGCCTGGAATGGGGTTATGTTTATACTCAGAGCTGCAGCTGAGCTCTGAAGCACTGGTCACGCATGGCAGTGTCTATCCAGCCCAAAATGGCATGCTAACTCATGCATGCCTAATAGTGTAAAAAATAAAACCAGAAAGTGTTAGACAAAGTCACAAGGATAGGTCATGAAACCACATGATTTGCAACTTTATTCCACCCAGCAGACACAAGTTCATCCCTATGTCTTCCTTTGATCTGGGACACAAGACAGCGAAAAGCTACACTGCAGCTCTCAGTTGCCATCCTCAACAGATTCCCATCGCACACTCCACTGACAAGCAACTTTCAGTCCATTACCTCAAAACAATTTTCTTTTTCTGTTTCTTATACCAGGTGTTGGAGAAAAAAAAAATATTAAAAATAATCGGAGTGCTTTCTCTCACAGTTAAGCAACAGGATGCCTTTTGAGTTTGCGTAGTTACGCTGATACTGTTAATAAAACGCTTTAAGAAAACCACAGCTGTGCCCCATCCCTTAGCTCAGACAGTAGTTATCACATAATAGACCGATATAGCTGGAGAAGAGAAAGTCTGTCTGGGTTTCTTTTCAAAAGGTCTTACAGTCCCCCCACACATAAGCATCATTATGGTCAAGTGGAATTTCCTGTTCCTAGTGACATACTGTGACCCACTGCTGGAAGAATATTTCTGGGCAAAGCTCTTCCTTGGAAGAGCACACCTGCAATGCTCGTCAGTAAAACCCACCAAGAGCTGAAGATGAAGCATCAGCTGGGCTTTGGCTTAAGAAAAATCTCCAGGTTAAGCGATACGGAGGTCACACCTTCTTTTCCTGGAAGAAGCTAGGTGAAACGTTCCAGCTTTAAATTAGTAAAACAATTGCTGCCTCCCATTTCTGTCTGTGTTCCTTAATGAAACATTCATTTAGGGATGATATTGATGGGCTGCTGGATACAACAAATGGAAAATCGCCACTGAGATTGATGCAGCTGACTCCAGCTGGCACAACAGAGTAGAATTTTTCACTTAAAGTAAAAGAAAGAAGGAATTTTGAGATTGTTTATCATCCTCTAAATCCTTTATCCCTCAAGAAGCAGAATTTATGACTGTAGGAAGGCATTTACTCCAAGCCATTAGTGTTCTCGCCCTTGCCTATTAGAAACTAAAGCAAATTTCAGTCTTACCTCCTTCAAGAGATAAGATAGTCCCCATCCCTGAATATGTTTAAGAAAAGGGTGGATGAACTACTTAGGGATATGGTTTAATGGGGGATTAGGGATGGTTGGACTGGATGATCTCTAAGGTCTTTTCCAACCTAGAAATCTATGAATCTATGAAGAGGAAAACTGACATTTTTGACCCAGGTTATTTATCAAGGATAATTTTTACCTGTAATTAGATTTGGAACAGAAAGATCAGAGGAGGAGATCAGCCTTCCGTTCCTGATCCCTTTGCAAGGCAGAGGTGTCAGTGAAACTCTGTCCCGCTGCCAGTGAATACCCGTGCCCAGGCAATCTGAGGTAGTCACCTTGATGTACGGTGATGGAAAGCTAATGTAGACTTGTACTGAGAAGAACAGTCTGAGACCTTCTTGGTGAGCCATCTTTGCAACAGCTGTTGGCCAAAAACCTCTCTGAAGAGCTGGAGCTCAAGGAGAACATATTGAAAGGAGATGTCAGGATTGTCTCAAAGGTGAGCCCGCTTTTCCCCTTTTTGCTTAACAGGAACGCTCTGGACACGGCAGAGGAGGAAGGCAAGTTTGGCAAGCAGAAGGAGGATCCTCCTCTCCTGTGGCTCCGTATGCCTTTGAGGTACCAGAATTGAGGACACAAGCCATAGCCTTAGAAGAAACCACAACCTCAGCACTTTTTTTTCAGCGTAGAGCAAGATTCAGATGAGGCTTTTAGCTAAATGGTTTTCACCTTTTTTTTTTTGCCAGTATATATAAATACGTGTTATATATATGTACACATACATATATTTTTTTATTTTTTTTTAATAAGTCATGCACTTCTCCCTACTTCCTGGTATTGAAAGAGGACCAGGCAACCACTGACCATCTTTTGGTCCATCACTGAGCAAATATACAGGAGAGAGAACAAAAACCATGGTGGAACAAAAAATTAACGAAAAGCCAAGCCTTACAAAGCTGTTTCTCCCTGATTCCAGCGCTTCCATGAGGTCCTCGCCCAAAACATTTAAAGTGGGAGAAAGTGCTGAGCCGTTACACTGCTCACCTCCTCCTCCTCATTTCCCATCTCCATGCCCCAAAACGGCAGCACAAGTCTAGCTGCATGGGTGTGCTATACAACCTGCTCAACCAGCCTCAAGCGCAATCAAGCCGTAAACCAGAAGCATGGCCTTGTGACTGTGGCAGAGCACCAGATGCTTTACAGGGAAGCACGGAAACCCCAGGCAAGCAGTTAACACCAATGAGTTTTTTTCCCCTAAATCCTTCAGCTCTGGGGCTGCATCTCGTGTGAGTAACACCAGCCTCAGCGTATCAAGGTCCTCTGGGGAGCTGGGTGGGGTGTTTTTTGTTTTCTTTTAGTTTGGTTGCTTTTTTAAAAAAAAACTTTAAGTATCTCAGCCCATTTTGCAACAGAACTGCAAACCCAACGTGCTGCCAAGGGCCCACACTGAT